GACATGCCCTCTTTGATGTCTGAAGAGAGGTTTGCTGAACTAGGTGTCATTGAAGCCCGACATGACCCCACCAGCATTTTTGCATTACAACACCTCGCGAGAACAGAGGCCAGGAAGGCTTATGTACACCTCGACTGTTCCAGGAGGGTACAGAGAGCTATGTCAAAGAATGTTTCTGGTTTCCACCGTGAACATGCCATTGGTGACTTGGTTGTTTTCAGGAAGGATAACAATCGGGGAGGAGTCCAATGGAGCCCTACTTGTCGAGTAATCGGTTGGGAAAACCAAAAGAACGTTTGGCTTCTTTCGGGTAATGTACCTGTTTTGGTTGCAAGCAACAACATTCGCCCTGCAAGCGCATCAGAGGCATTGGCTGTTTCCGTGTTGAGAGGTGAGCCTTTGGTACCATCTCGAATTGTTGGGGATGGGCAACAATCCTTTTTGGATGCAAGGACAAGAGGTGATTCGGAAGAGGAAGGAGCTCGCGATGAGCCCTATCCAAGTCCATCTCCGATGGTTGTTGAGGAGGAAGATGGAATTCCTTCGGAACTTCCCCCCGTGCCCGAAGACAGCGATGACATATGGGTCGGTCCTGATTTCTTTGAAGAAGAGGACGACGATCTAGGAGCTGAGGCTGAGGATGATCTCGCTGACCTTCCTCTGTCGAGGAGACGACCCGCGGTTGCGAGAGTTGAGGCCCCTGAGGGACTCGACAGGAATGTCAGACCTCGAACTGGAGAGGCTGCGTCAGCATCCTCGAGTTCAGTTGCCGCAGAGCCAGAAGCTGAGAGAGGGGTATCTCTAGGTCCTTCTCGACAGTTGTCTGAAACGCCTGCGGCTGGTTCGACTGATCCGGTTCCTTGGCCAAATGTTCATAATGTTTTGGATGATTTACCCCTCCAATTGAGACAGCATTTCGAAAGACAACGAGCCAACGAGACCCCAACGGATCTCGATGAGGCTACTGCCCTCTTTGCCAGTTTTATGGGATTGGAAGAGGAACCTGAATCCTTAGGGAAGAAAGTTCTGAAATCCATAGATTACAATACTGCTCCACCTGAAGTGCAGGAAGGCCTGCAGGGAGCCATGGTGAAGGAATGGGGCAAGTTTGAACAGTTTGGTGCAGCCATTCCAATTGTTGGTGAACTGAAGGATCAACTACTGGCTGAAGGACATCAGGTGATACCTTCCAAGTGGGTTCACACTGATAAAGCGGAGTTCAAGAAGGGACGTCCGGATTACGCTCCCGAATGGAAAAGCCGCTTGGTATCCTGTGGGAACTTTGAGGTTTCTGAAGGATTAAGGTCCGACAGCCCAACAGCTGAGGTAGATGTCCACCACGTGATGGCATGTTGGTGCTCCTGCAAAGGAGTGACCATGCATTCTGCTGACATCACGAATGCGTACTTTCAAGGCAAGGCACTGGATCGAATTGTACTAATGAGTCAACCACGAAACGGATTGCCAGGTGTGGATCCAGATGCACTCTTGTTAATGAGAGTCAGGATATACGGCTTGACAGACTCCGGTACAGGTTTTTTCTTGCAGCTCGACGAAGACGCTCGAGCGCAGGGATTCCGAGGAAGTAAATTCTTCCCCGCGTTGTATTACCTGCCAGGACCCACTGGAGATGCTGTGGCTGTACTTGCCACGCATGTGGATGACCTCCTCTACGCCTACACGGAAGAAGGCGAAACTGCCATTACCGAATTGCTTCGGCGATACGACGTTGGCACAACTGAGGAGGGGAGCTTCAGGTACTGTGGGAAACAGTTTACCTTGGACGAGGCTGGAACCATTTCAATCGACGTTCGTGATAACACCCGCAAGATTCGGCCTATCACTGTCAATCCCCAAAAGCGACGAAGTGAACCAGTCACTCCCCAGGAACTGACAAGCCTTCGGTCTTGTACAGGGAGTTTGGCTTGGGTATCACGACAGGGGAGGCCGGATACCAGTAGTACCGCACAAGGCGGTGGCGGAAGTTTCAAGACATGGCAAACTATAGGATGGGCTTGTGGTTGTGAGTCCTGACTGACAGAGCGACCCACTTGGTCTGTCTGACCGAATGTCTGTCTGACTGACTGACCATCTGACTGTCTGTCTGACTGACTGTCTGCCTGACTATCTATCTATCTGTCTGTCTGACTGTCTGACTATCTGTCTGTGAGGCAGTCTATCTATCTCTCTGTCTGTCTATCTGTCTACCTGTCTGACTATCTGTCTGTCTGGCGGTCTATCTATCTCTCTGTCTGTCTATCTGTCTACCTGTCTGTCTATCTGTCTGTCTGTTTGACTATCTATCTATCTGTCTGTCTGTCTGACAAGTCTACCTATCTGTGTGTCTGTCTTTGTATCTGTCTGCCTGACAATCTATCTATCCATCCAGCTGTCTCTTTGTCTATCTGTCTGATTGGCTGTCTATCTACTATATCTATCTACCTATCTATCTATCTTTCTTTCTTTCTTTCTGTCTCTCTCACTGTCTGACAGACGGACTGTCCATCTATCTATCTATCTGTCTATCTGTCTGTCTGACTGACTATCTATCTATCTATCTAGCTATCTTTCTGTCTCTCTGGATGACTGACTGACTGACTGGCTGGCTGGCTGGCTGACTTGACTATCTATCTACCTATCTTTCTTTCTTTCTATCTATCTATCTATCTTTCTTTCTTTCTTTCTATCTATCTGTCTCTCTGACTGACTGGCTGACTTGACTATCTATCCATGTATCTATCTATCCTTCTGTCTATCTATCTATCTATCTATGTTTCTGTCTATCTATCTGTCTCTCTGACTGAGTGACTGACTGACTGACTTGACTGACTTGACTGACTGACTGATTGATTGACTGACCGGGGTTGACTGACTTGATGGATTTGACTGACTTGACTGACACGTGACCCAATTCCAGCGCGATTGTCAGCAGAATTAGATTGCGGAGAGGCAAAACTAAGAATTCGGCAACACATTCTCCCCAACGGAATTACGAAAACTACGCTTCCAAAAGTGGCCCGAACGTGGTGTGTTTTTACGATTTTGACTTCCAAATGTGCTTCGCGCGCAGGCGGCGTGCCATTTTTTCAAGTTGCATCTTCCAAAAGTGCTCCGAACCCCTAGCGTTTTGAAGGTTTTGACTTGCAAATGTGCTTCGCGCGCAAGCGGCGTGCCATTTTTTCCAGTTGCATCTTCCAAAAGTAATCCGAACATGGTGTGTTTTGCAACTTTTGACTTCCAAATGCGCTTCGCGCGCAGGCGGCGTGCCATTTTTTCAAGTTGCATCTTCCAAAAGTAGTCCGAACATGGTGTGCTTTGCAACTTTTCACTTCCAAATGTGCTTCGCGCGCAGGCGGCGTGCCAGTTTTTCAAGTTGCATCTTCCAAAAGTGCTCCGAACATGGTGTGTTTTGCAACTTTTGACTTGCAAATGTGCTTCGCGCGCAGGCGGCGTGCCATTTTTTCAAGTTGGATCTTCCAAAAGTGCTCCGGTGCTGGTGTGTTTTGCAACTTTTGACTTCCAAATGTGCTTCGCGCGCAGGCGGCGTGCCAATTTTTGTCAATCCTTCCGCCAGAAGGGTCCGCACCCGCCGCTTTAGCGAGCCTACCTTTCGGGCCTCCTGGACGCACAAACTATTGAAAAACACAGCATTTGGCGACTTTCCTAACATTTCGCGCACTCGGATCTGTTGTCTTCCTGACTCTCTGACTATACATCTTCTGCTATATCTTTTGATCTGCTATATCTTCTGCTGTGGCTTCTTCTTCTCTGACATCTCTGATCTTCTATCTCCTGACTCACTCCCCTGCCCGTGCGAACTGACCTAGTTGAGTTGTCCGTAAGTCGGAAGTTTGACTTCTAAACTTCCTTTGATCAGCTACAGAGTGTCACGTCTGCAATCATCAGTCAAGGGAGCCACAGTTGAAACACTTCACGAGGCCAACAAAACCTTGGCACTTGCACAGCAAGGAATGGACTCCGTGAAGCTCAAGTACCCAAAGGGGTATCTTGATTGGAACAATGTGGCTGTGATTACGGTGACAGACGCCAGTTTTTCGAACGAAGCAGGATTCAAAAGCCAACAGGGGAGAATGCACTTCCTAGCTGACGCTAAGGAGGTTAAGGATCCCAAGAGCTGCGTTTACAAGGTGCTTCCGTTGTCGTTCGGATCTACAGCGATCCGAAGAGTTTGTCGCACTACCCTGCAAGCGGAAACATACTCTCTTCAGAATGGCGTTGAGACGGGCCATAAACTGAGAGGGTGTTTGTGTGAGTTGAAGGGCCATATCCAGAACATGAAGGAATGGTCTTCACAGGCAATGGAATCAATGCCTCACCTTTCGTTTACTGATTGCAGGAGCTTGGCAGATCATCTTTCGTTGGAGGCGCCAGGAAAGGTTACCGATCGCAGGCTTGGCATCGAGCTGATGTCATTACATGAAGATCTGTGGCAAGATGGAAAACTCACTTGGTCGACAATGGTCAATGGAGGAGACCACCTGGAGTGGATCTCGACCGCGACGATGGTGAGCGATTGCTTGACAAAGAGCATGCGCCCAGATTTCCTTGTCCGAGTATTGGACACCAATTTGTACAGAGCAGAGAAGATTTCCACGAAGGGAAGAAAGAAGTAGTTATTGTAGCTCTGGTTAGGGAATGAGACCCGTGTCACCTGAAGAGCAAGTTGAGTGTCGATTTGTGGTCTGTTTGTATAGGCTGCGAGATTAGGTTGACACACATTCCCTGTAAAATGTTGGCTCAAACCAGGGCCCTTGAGTCTTACCGCGACGCGTGAAACAATTTGGACTGCGCGATACTGATACCAAATTGATATTGGTAGCATTGCTCTTACTCCTATCCGATTCTTCTCGGATCTATACGGGTTTGATCGGATGCAAGCGGTTGCGAGGATCACAAAATGATGCTACCTTATAAAACGACATACCTGTTGCCATTTGATGTTACTGTTGGCCAAAGCACCGGCGGAGCCAACGGCGGAGGCAGCTGAAGCAAAAACGAAGGAGGAGGCAGCTGAAGCAAACGCTGGTGATGTTTTTTTATTGACAGCTGCAATCAACCATGGTCATCAACCATTCATCGACCGTGGCGACCATTAACCTACTTAGTAAGCGGGAGGCACCGCTGTCCCCATCCTCGTCAATTCCCTCACCCCATCCGCATTCTCTCATTTGGTCCCGTGCCCATCCCCCGATATCAACCGTGACCATAACCAACAACTGACTACCAACGAGTACCACCGAACCATTGACATTTGCTGTCAAAAAAACTCAATGAGATTAACATTAGCATTAAATGATGTTTTTTTTGAAACACTGGTATGCAGCACATTTTACGATCCCCTATAAGCATGATTGATAAGCCGCACTAAGTGAGGATGCACATCCAAGTATCCCATCCAATCTGGCTCCAAATCTTGTGACAGGCGCAGAACATCTTAAAGACAGTCTACGCAGCCGCCGCCAAGGTGCAGCATGAACGTTTTTGAAACTGACATGCGCAAACATAATGAGATTAACATTGACACTTAAACGATGAAGCTTTTGGGAAACGCTGGTATGCAGCACATATTGACCTTGAATCACTGAGATCAGCTCTATGCATTGTCCACAAAGTTTCCTACGTAGAGTGATTTCTAACATAAATGGTAGTTAGCCAGCTACAGTTTACAGTCCAGTACATTCCAATAATTACCATTAATGACGATTTGTAACCATCAACCATCAACCATCAACCATTCATTGACCATGGCCACCATGAATGAAGCGTTGATGAACCAACGACTGTTGCTCATTTCTTTGGGCTGCTGATAAGCGAGAGGGAGGTGCCATAAGTAGCCCTTGATTCACATGCGAACTTGGGACGGTGAAACCATATCCCTATCCTTGTTTATTGCTTCACCCCAGCCCCATCTGCATTCCCTTGTTTGGTCTCATCCCCATCGCGCGAAATCAACCATCAGCAAGCAGGGGCTAGCAACCAGTACCGCCCAACCATTGACATTTGGGGCGAAGAGAAAATCAACCAGCAGGAAAAGCGAGACTCTGCACTAATGAATGGGAGAACCCAAAACTTTGGGCTAGCCAGCGGTTGCAGAATATGGGGATTAGTCATGAGATGATTATTTTTGCAGAATATGCAGGTATGCAGCACATGTTGATCCTGAATCTTGCGGTGTAAGCAGAGGTAACTAGTTTCCAGATGTTTCCAGTTCCACAAGGTGTTGCGTTACGTCGCCGTTGTGATGGCGTTCCGGTGTAGCAATCAACCAGCGCTTGCAGTGGGACATATGCCCAGCGCTACCCGCTAAGTCAGTAATTTTACATATATTTTGTTAGCTATACAGATATGAAGCATTATTTGTCATTTGCAATAAAACACAGTATGGCGTATGCCTGGCTGACAGCGCCAAACCGATTTGATGTCATGAAATGGTTCCAACCATACGCCCAAAATGTTCATGGCCGAAATTTGTCGATCAATATCAGGTATATTTCCATAGTTCACTAGCATTTTCTTAGTTGGCAGGCCCGGCTGTGATACCATTGGCCACAGCACCAGACAGCCAACGGAGGCAGCTGAAGCCAAAGCTGAAGTCGCAGCACCAGTGGCTGAAGCACCAGAGGAACCAAAGGATGAGGCAGCCGAAGCCAAGCGGAGCAGTTGAGTTTGGATCACTGGGCAGCTAACCCAAACATTTGACTGACCATTGAGATCAGCTCTATGCATTGTCCAAAAATCTGCTCGAACGAAGTATTGCTCGCAGAGTCAGGTTGAAGATCCAGCGGAAAAGATTCATTCTGGAAACAAATTGTGATTAACATTCATTAGAAGACTTGATCCAACAAATTTCTGCTTGTGACTAGTCAGTTCTCTCCAACCATGGCCACTGATGGTTCTTAGTCGCCATTGATGGTTCTTACAACTCAAGTCGGGGTGAGCCAATCATAGTGATACTTGACTGGGGCCAATCAATCTTAGCAGTTATTGCGGCTATTGCCCTCATGACCAATTGGGTCGATGATACTGAAATGGAACGCTGTCAATCAGTATTGTATTCTTTCGCTTTCGTTTGTGGGCTTTGCCCGCGGGGAAGGTATGAAGAGTCTCCCAAAAAAAAAAATATTTTTGATAGTTAGATGATACTTGGCATGATCGCAGTCATCAACAAGAATGGCTATTGAGGAATCTTACTCGTACTAGATCCCATGGAATTGGTGATCCTCAACCATTATGTGGACATTCTTCAGTGTAAACCCATAGAATTGTTAACCATTACTTCAATATTAAACATGATTAGTAACCCATACTGACAATATTAGATCAATAATCATGCTGAACTATTATCAATCTCATTATTAGTCATTAGTTCACTATGAATTAACAAACGCCCATTAGTCAACTACGAATCAACATTTTTTGACAATTATTCCCATTCGTCAGCCGTGAATTAATCAACTATGAACTAGTCAATTAACCAAACTCATCTATAACTAATTAACCATCAATAAGTTCACCATCTCCAAACTATCATCCACCCGTAGCAATCATCATCCACCCATGGCAGTCCGCAGCTTCGCTGCTCGGATGGCAAGCCCGAAGCGCCAAAGGAGGACGCGACTGGAGCGGAACTTGCAGCACCAACAGCTGAAGAGGCAGCTGAAGCCGACCATGTCTTGGGTGTTGGCGAATGATTGGTTGAGTTTTGGTGAGTTGGTCAAGTGGTTCAGATGGCGCTGGTTGATCCTGGTAATGGTTTGTCATTGGCGATGGTAGTTTGAAGGCTAACTTGCTGGATATGCTGGCAATTGAAACTATGGGTGACGATGGCGAACAAAACAGATGCCATGAAGGCTGGTCAGTAGGCAGTAGGATAATGGTTCTTGAAATTGTGAAGGTGAATGCAAATGGATGAACCTCTCTAGTAATGCTCAGGCCCTCTGATAGTCTAACGTCACTGGCCAGAAATCCGACCTTTGGCATGACGTACTTCGTGGATATAGCCATTTGCCAACACGCAATGCATGATTGGTCATATTGTTCTGGGCCTTCGGCTTAGATCTTTTAGATTGTCTTGTGATAAGCATTCATTAAAAGGCTTGATCCAACAAACTTCTGGTTGTGACTAGACAGTTCTCTCCAACCATGGCCACTGACGGTTCCTAGTCGCCATAGTTTTTGCAACTCAACTCGGGGTTAGCCACCCCCACCCATTCGCCAAAGGTGATCGACGACTCTTTGAGTTTTGAAAAGCAGTGGTGATGTGGTTGGTTTCCCAAATGTGGGGTTTTCCTTCAGATTTTTTTTTTGAGGGTGAAGCTGTAGTGATACTTGGGTTCATCTTCGAACTCGGCGGTGTACTGGGCAGCGCCACTGCGAGATTCACCATTCTCCGGAGTAAGACTTGAAGGCTAAAGACACCCCTCGGGCAAGGAAAGCATTCAAAAGCAAGAGATGGCAGTCTGCGTCCGCCGACGAACGGGGGCATCAGGACGGCTGGGTTTCGCCAGTTCAGGATGGTTACCAAACCTGGATTTGTCATGGGATCGTTTGCAAATGTCCTTGAAAACTGCTGGTACCAATGATTTCTCAAGACCTTTCAGCTTGCCTTTCCTTCTGTTTTCTTCAAAAGCTTCTGTTGTGCCACCCAAAGGCATGGACAAGTTCTTTGGCTCAGCCCGTGTAATTACTAGCCATTCTGTCACGCGAAGCTTCCAGAGATCAGTGTATGCATGCTCCCTTGAGTGGTCGGGCTGGCAACTCCAGCAGGCTGATTCACCATTGCGCATGATGCACCACCAAATGAAGTCGTTGGTTAAGCATCTTAGCAAAAAGCAGGCCCAAAAAAGGTTTCTGTCACTTTGGCATGGGTGACATGTATCAACATGTATCAAGACCATCACGAATATACATGTGACATTCTTAGTCATTGGTCCAACATGTGCAGAAAAAGGATGTTTCCTGGTGGTTTTGATCCGGAATCGTGCTCCAGGAGAGATCACCCGCGCGGTTCGCGCTGAGGATGGGTCAGTTGGAAGCCTGGTCCAGTAGTCAGGGCTCGGAGATGTAGAGAGGCCAACACAATCAACTCTTTGACACGAGATGACATGAGAACGCGATAGAATGCGATATGTATACGTATGTATTATATATATATATATATATGAAAAACAACAGCGTTGTTTTGAACCGCACCGAGGGGCATCTTGATCTAAGCAGCGGAATGATGACAAATTGTGAATTTGCACGCCCCCTTATTCATTTAAGAGGATCATGGAGCGCTTAAATTGGGAGAGCCTCAAACAAACACACAAGCAACAACAACGACAACAAAACCAAAGCCGGACAAACCAAACGGAACCCACAACCCTCAAGTTTCTCCTTCCTCCTTTGCGCGCACGTGTGAGTGCTGTGTGTCTTGGAGTGGTTGTATGCCCGCCGCACGACGCTTCTTCGAAGAACACATGTTTTGATCATAAACCAGCTTCCAAGTAAAGTCCAAACTAAGGAACAACCAACCTTGGGCTTTTTCATGACATTTTGTCAAAACGTTTGCAAGCATAGCCCCACCTTCAACCCACCGGAGGGTTGTCTGAGATCGTTGCAAGTTCTGCCTGAGTGACAGAGCTTCAATGTCAGCGCGTTTTTCCGGTCCTTTCACCACCGGGGTCGCCCGGTGCAATTTGTCGTACAGGTTCTTACTGTCGGTCACTAAGGTACCTTTGGTTAAACTCGCCGCATGATCAACATCTCTAAGTTGGATATTATGTCCCAAAAGTTCCGACCACATAACCCAGACGTAGGTAAGATCATCTTCAGTGTTCAGAGCAGCCATGGTTTCAGCCGTAGCAGGGGATCTACACACTCTGTTGATGCAACCGCTTTTCCAAAAGACAGGGGTCACCGGAGAATGAAAACCTTCCCTAAGTTTGGGGGTGCACATCCCAATGAAAATCCCTTCCGTGGAATCCACCTCATTGGGCCGGTTGGCCCACGCAGCATCGCTCCAGGCGATAAACTCCAATGGTGCATGTTCATCAAAAGCATGAATCTTATACACTTGATCTTTCATTTTCTTCATATCCCGAATAATTTTATTGGTGGTAACAATATCAGCAACCGTAGATTGAGGAATTTTGGTCAACATGTGATTAACATCAACAGCATACAAAAAGCATGTTTGGCCAGTCACCCATGACAAGGAGCCCAATGCTCCTCTGAGTTTCCGTTTCTCCTCGTCGGTCGTTGGGCACTCGACTTGTCTGCTCCGATCTTTCGTCAGAAAGATTTCAGTCATTTCGTCGATAAATCGGTCTTGTTTGAGTTCAATACTGTAATCCGATTTCTGGCATACATCAATGCCACACTGAACAAAATGGTCGGTTTCCCAAGTTCCCCAATCATAAGCCTGTTTGATTTTCTCCATTAAACCACGATGAATTTTACAATAATCACGTCCTCCAAACAGAAAATCATCGACATGACCATGAATAATAGAACGGACACAACCAGTTTCATCTTTCCAAATCCAACAACATGGTTCAACGAGCAGTTTTTGATAACCCAAACTGGAAAGGAACCTCGAAATGCTTTCATACCAATGAAGGGGAGCCTGAACCAAACCATAAGCAGCTTTCTTCATGAGCATGGGAGTTCCCTCTTTGACTTCTAATTTTTCCGTGATTTCCTTGAGAGGCCTACACCACAGCTCTTCAGTCAAATCATCACCTTGAAGGAAAGCCCCACTTATGTCCCCCTTAGCCATCTTAAACCGTTTCCAACTACAAAGCTGAAAGAAAAGTTGACGACTCGCTCTTGAGGGTGTGGGTGCAGCAGTCTTACGGTCAGCATAAGACGGGTCCTGGTATCCAAGCACGATTGCTCGTGCCTTGGCCTTTCGGCCGTCCTGGTACTTATCGTCGTACTTCCAAGTCAGAAGCCAGCGCATGCCAAGCACGTTGTACTCGTCAGGCAGGCGATCCTTGGCCAGTTCAAAGCACTCTGCTGCTATGAAGTTCTTGACTTCAATGTCTTTTGCCTTCTTGAATTGCATGTATTCATCTTTGGTGAGTTGCTTCTCATGTACTTCTACTTATTTCCGACGGATCTGACTGCTCATGTAAGCCTCTGGATTCGCCAGAAACTTCTTTGTCCCTCTGCGTGATGATGGTAGCAACATGGAAATTTCAACTGCTGCCAATGCCTCTTGAGAAACATGCAAGTCCTCATCGTCCACCTCCAGTGGCACAGAAGGTGCTGATCTGGATGGTGGTGGTCGAGGATCATGTTCATCTGGAAGAGCTGCCTCCTCAGAGCCGCGTTTGGCATGACGGCTTTCCACTGTTCCCTTCTTCCTCATCCTGGTTTCTGGGATGTTCTCGCCATGGTGTGTTCTCACTGGGGGTTCCTCATGTGCTTCTGTCCATTCTTCACGGTTGGGTTTGTCCATGGATAGGTCGACATAGGTTCGCCTCTTAGGATCTGTTGCTAAGGTAGTGATCGTCCAGGGGATTTCAATAGGGCCATTGAGACTTTCAATCTGAAGTTCGTAGGGCGAAGCTTTTCGAAGTTGTTCTGGAGCACATTTAAGAAGCCTGCCTCCACGATGGAGCCATACCACACTTCCCGGACGCCATTCCCCTTCAGAATCCCGTCTAGTCTCAGTTGCTAGAACCCTGGCTGGACCAATGAACCTTCCCTGATTATGAGTAGTTTTCTCTTTGAGGGGTACCTGTCGTCTCCAATAATACACCACATCCCCAGGAAGAAAATCTTGCAAGGAACGTCGTCCCATTCGCTGTGCCTTCTCCAGCTTTCGTCGAGCTTGTTCCTCGGCGAAGGCTTTGGTGGCAGCACAGCGGATCTTGACATCTTCTTGAAAACCCCCATCGTCTAGTAGTTCTGGTCCCACTGGTCGAACCCGATCATCTTCAAACATATGTCCATGTTCATCAGGGCCTCTTCCTAGAACCTGTTGCATAGGAGAGAAACCTTTGTACCTCTCTTCAGAGTTGCAAACCCAGACTGCACGTGCTAATAGTTCATGAATGTCTTTGTCAGGAAATTCTTGTACCAATCGCTCCAACATGCCCTTCAAGGATTTGATGCTGCCTTCAACTATACCTATTTGCCAATGTGCCTCTGCTGGTATGGTGACAAACTCTATACCTCGTTCTGAGAAGTATTGATCTGCTTCATCTGAATTGCATGGCCCTGCGGCATCGGTTCGCAAAACCCTTGGAGCTCCAAAGGTTGCAAACCATCCTTCTTCTAGAGCACGTTGAATCATCTTCCAGTTCGTTGTATTTCCTGAGCTCATGGTTGTCAAGCGTGCCATCCTGAACCTTGTTCCTTCATCCACTGCAACCACGAAATGGTACTTGGCTTTTGTCTTTGGATGAACCCATGTTGCCATGTCGATCTGCAATCTTTCCCACTTCTGAGGAATGGTTTCCAATTGAGCAAATCTTCTAGGATCAGTCCGCTTTCGATGGGCACATATACTGCAAGTCCATTCCTTTGCAACCTGGATCACCTTTGGTTGTACTCCTCGTTGAGTCAAAGTATGTATCAAATTCTTCATGCTACCATGACCTGTCGTTTGGTGGATGTGTTGAATCTTCTTCTCAATCTCCAGTCGTTCCTCTGGGGATATTTCCAAGTTCACATCTTCTCCCACCTGGGCCTCTTCCAAGTCGGTGTGTAGAGCTTGGTGTTGTTGTTCCACAATCCTGTGCCAGGGTTCACATTCTGAAAGGGAGTCAATCACTTTGCGGGCAAAGGGCACGGTGTATCGCGATGTGTGCGCAGCCTCTCCTCTTTCGCATTTTCCTTTTGGATGGTTTCCCTGACATCTCAGATCCAAGTGTCGTAGTAGATGTTCGTTCCTACTAGCAATAGTCCAAGCCTTACATAGTGCCAACTTCCCATCACGTGTTCGGAGACCCACAGCGCAACCGTTGCAAGAGACCTTTTTCAAACTGAACTCTTGGATGTAGCTCTCGATCATGGGCAATTTCCAAGCTTCGCAACGTTGAGCAAACTCCCAGTGCACCTCTGTGCCCTGCTTCCATGCAGCCCTTGCCACTTCAATGGCTCCCGAATACTGATTTCTAGCACGTTCCTGTTTTTGATCTAACTTAGCCTTTCGTTCGGGGGTTCCCTTATTCAGATGTTGTAAAGGACAGTATGGGCTACACTCACAGGCAATCCAAAGGTGTTTGGGTTTCAAAAGCTTCACACGTTGAATAGCATATTGAACTCCTTCAGCCGTTTCCAAATTCGCACCATTCCATTCAGACAATCTAACCGCAGAACCTTTACCAAACCGTTTTTCAACTTCAGCACTCAACAAACTGTCATGAAAGCAAGCCAACTCAACAAGAAAAGGTCTACCATGTCCTACTAAGTCTTCCCATGTTTTACTGAAGGGATTCCTATGCAAATGCCACTCACGAGCCAGGTTCATAGCGTCCTTCTCGGACAGGTCCTGGTCAGGTTGTCCATCTTCTGGGTCGATCACATCTCCCGGCGTGTCTTGTGCTGCAAAGCATTGGCATCGATCTCTGTCTTCTCCTGTCGAAGCTCTGCTGCGGTCCGGTCCACCTCCTCCATCTTCTGCGCAAGAGTTGCCTTCATCTGTTCCACCACGAGCAGCTGTTCCTGAAGCTGGTCCTGAGAGCTCTGGTCCACCATGGTGAAGCTGAGAGAGCTGCCCGCTGACGACATGTTCTCCTTCGGCATGTTCGGCTTGACATCCTTGCCGATCTTGGACATGTGCTTCTGCTGTCGCAACCAACGAGCCAACCTCTTCAGACGCCAACTGGCTTCCTGGTCCTCCATGTCTGTCTGGATCACCCATGTGGCATAGGACTTCTGATGGTCTAAGATGTCCTGATACGATTTGTCCCCATGCATCCCGAAACCCACTAGGTCCTCTCCTGATGGTTCGTGTTGCTCGGTCACCCACTTGGTTGCCATGGACGTGATTTGAGCGATCGTCTGGTTGGGGTTCACTTCCAGTCCCAAGTCCCGGACATACTCCACCAGGGTTGGTTTGCGCTGAGCTGCCTTGTTGAGTTTCTTGAGCTGGGTTGCCAGAGTATTGACCTCGGACACCGTTTGATTCTCCTTGACCTCGGCCCAACGCGCCATCATCTGAGACACGGTCCAGCTCTTTGGAACATGTTCCCCATGGTCCTGCAACTTCTGAAGCCACTCTGCCTTGGTTTTGGGTCCCGGCATGCTGCTGAACCTGAGGAAAAACACGAGGTGAACTAAGATGGCCACAGTTAACCTGAGAAATGGCTGCTGTGTGGTGGTGCGTGCCGGTTGATCCTTGGGTTTTGTTTAACAACTAAACATTCATCAGTCGAATCACTGGAGGCTCCCACATCGCAAAAATAGCACGTCTGAGATTTCACATGGTCAAACAATGCGTTGAAAAACATTTCCTTCCCTACGACCAAAAGACGCTGGTCGTTTTGATCACTGAAGACGCTCCCCTGACCCTTTTTGTCCATCTCGCCAGGGGAGTCATCTCCCTACTCGTCTGACAGGCTCTGGAATGCTGTTTCCCTAGGCACTCCACCAGCCGTCAGGTTGCCTGTCAAAGGCATCAACAAGTGGCCGTTCTCGGCTTCCATCAAGTTCACTACCATCTTCGGATCAACATGTCGGTAGATCACTTGATTGCGTTCAAAATCGATCACTGCTCCCAGGCTTCGAAGAGCCTTTCGGCTCACCAAAATCGGCTGCTGTGGAGTGTCGTGGACGTGGACCTCCATATTGCCTCGGTGATTGCCAGCATCGACCTTGAGTTGCGCGGTTGACACGCAAGTCTTGGTCAATCCATTGCCGAACTTGAAAGTGGGTCGCTTCTCCAGATCCAGCTCGATGCGACTGTCGCCCTTCTGAGCGATGTTCTTCTTCACAATCGACTCCATGGCATCGATTGATCCAAGAGATGCCGTTGCTCCGGAGTCGATTATTCCCATGCACTGCTCCATGGCCTGAGTTGTCACCAAGGACATCTCAGAGGAGCTGCATGCCATCTGAACTGGGTCTGTCTTGGGCTCGGCAATCTCGCTGGCACCGAATGCAATTTCGGCAGCCTCCACAACGACCTTTGCATCTTTCTGAGTGCGTTGTGGACATTGATCCTGAAAATGTGGTCCACCACATTTGAAGCACTTCACGCCTGGACGAGGAGCTTGACCTTTCTGAAAAGGTTTCTTTGGAAAGAAGTTCCTGTTCAGCTTCATCTGTTTCTGGTTCCAGCGTGCTTCCTTCAACGTGGTCTTGTTGATGCGGATTGCCTCAAGGGCATTGTCTATGCGAGCTTGCTCGGCATGATATGCCGCTTGCACATCTTCAGGTAGGGCTCCAATGTCACTGGAGTCCTCCTCTTGATAGTAGGCCTCCTCGTCATCCATCTCATCAGCCATCATCGCACTGGCCTTCTGCCGATCAATCTTCGCGAGATCGGCATCAGACCATTGTTCCCTGAGGGCCCGAGCCACAGAGGTTGTGCCACCAAGGATGCCACTTTTCTGATTGGGCTCCAATCCACTCCTGTGCAATAGAAGGAATCCTGCCAGAAACTCAGGAATGAAAATCTCGTTGCTAGTGTCCCAACTGTTGGGAGGCTCATAGTATGAGCTCCTCCAACTTTGGTTTCCCCACCAGTCTTGTGATCCATTCCAGTCCCAATCCCGCTGCTCCCAATGTTGCACATTGTCTTGGCCGTCTGCGTCTTCGTCATCGTCTTCATCGAGTCGTCCGTCTTCACGGAAGGGTCCTTGGTTCGAAGTCCCACGCTGTGAGCTCTCTGAACTCCTTCCCCAATCGGACCAAGCACTCCGTCTCTTTTTTAACGTCTCTTCGAATGTTGCCTCCCCCAAACTCTTTTTGCACTTTGCGCAACGCTGACGATGCCTCCCAAAGTGCTTCTGCATGTCTGGCGCACCACTCTGTCATCGACTCCCCACGTGATCTCTGCAGGTTGTAGAAGAACCTAATCACATGTTGACTAGCTTCCACTAAACTCGGCTT